TGGCTTTTGAAAACCCAGACTCACTTGTCCCTTTCTGCAGGTGTGGGAGATCCCTGATGGGGGCCTGGTGCTGCCCATGCGGGAGCCTGTCGTCACCCTGGAGGGCCACACCAAGAGGGTGGGCATCCTGGCCTGGCACCCCACAGCCCAGAATGTACTGCTCAGTGCAGGTGCTGTAAGGGTGAGGCGGGGAGGGCTAGGGGCCTGACAGGAGGGCAAAAGCTCACAGTTCAATGCTGGACAATTGTGCAGGTTGTGACAATGTGATCCTGGTGTGGGATGTGGGCACTGGGGCAGCTGTGCTGACACTGGGCCCGACTGTGCACCCGGACACAATCTACAGTGTGGACTGGAGTCGGGATGGTGGTCTCATCTGTACTTCCTGCCGTGACAAGTTTGTTCGCATCATTGAGCCTCGAAAAGGCACTATTGTGGCTGTAAGTTGCCATGAACCCTAAACCTTGGCCCTTGGATGTTGCTCTCTCTGCACCCACCTAGGGTCTAGTGTCTTGGTGAGGCTGTGAGAAGCTGACCCACCACATTTCCTTCCTCTCAGGCAAAGTCCCGTCCTCATGATGGAACTCGGCCAGTGCACGTTGTGTTTGTATCAGAAGGAAAGATTCTAACCACGGGTTTCAACCGCATGAGTGAGCGGCAGGTGGCGCTGTGGGACACAGTGAGTGCGGAGGAACAGAACCCTTCAGACTGGGAATCAAGGCCGAAGGCTAAGTCTCTGCCCTGTCACCGAGATGGGGAGTTTCCACTGCTTAGTCTGAGGGCTAAGTCCTTCAGACTTGACATGGCCCAACCTATTGCTACCCCCACCTGTCTCTACAGAAGAACCTGGAAGAGCCACTGTCCCTGCTGGAGCTGGACACCAGCAGCGGAGTTCTGCTGCCTTTTTTTGACCCTGATACCAACATTGTCTACCTCTGTGGCAAGGTGATTCAGGCGGGCTGGGGGCAGGAAAGTGTGTAAGTGGCTTGGTGAGCACAAAGGCTGGTGACCTGTGCTGGTACTGACTCTTGCCCATACCAACTACAGGGTGACAGCTGTATCCGGTATTTTGAGATCACTTCTGAGGTTCCATTCCTGCACTATCTTGCCATGTTCAGTTCCAAGGACTCTCAGCGTGGTATGGGCTACATGCCCAAACGTGGCCTGGAAGTGAATAAGTGTGAGATCGCTAGGTGAATGACACCCCCCCCCCAATTCTGATCAGACCTTCAGCATCCACTCATGCTGTTTAGTGCCACTCGTTTTCCTGTTTCCACAGATTCTATAAGCTTCATGAGCGGAAATGTGAGCCCATTGCCATGACGGTGCCTAGAAAGGTGATGTTCCTATGCTCCTCCCTGGGCGCAAGGACAGGAAGAGACCACGGGGGCTTGTAGGGAGGGGCAGAAACATAAACACTCTTATGACCAGCCTTGCCCTTGCCCACAGTCGGACCTGTTCCAGGAGGACCTGTATCCACCCACTGCAGGACCTGACCCTGCCCTCACAGCTGAGGAGTGGCTGAGTGGTCGGGATGCTGGCCCCCTCCTCATCTCCCTCAAGGATGGCTATGTGTCCCCAAAGAGCCGTGAGCTGAGAGTCAACAGGGGCCTGGATAGTGTACGAAAGAGAGCCACACCAGAGGCCAGTGGCACTTGCAGCTCGGTGAGGCTGGCGGGGAGCTGGGGTGTCAGGGCAGGAAGACAGACTAGGGCTGTGTGGCTGTGCTCAGGGTCTTAGGGAAAGAGTCTGTTATTTATAGAGATTTCCAAGCTCCTAATGGCGGGACATTCTTGGAAGACAAGGACTAGGTGACCCTGAGGCCTTATAAACCAGGCCACAAAGCTTACAGTGCAGTAATCCAAGTAGTAGCTGCTGGGACCAAAGGGCCCAGGCCTTGAGGTTCTCAGAAAGGTGAGCTCTATGGGAGGAAGGGATGCTACACAAAAGCTTGGCCTAATGCAGTGCTGGCTCCCTTAGGACACTGTGTCTCGGCTGGAGGAAGAGATGAAGAATCTGAAGGCCACGGTACAAGAGCTACAGAAGCGCATGGACAGGCTGGAGGAGACTGTTCAGGACAAGTAGAGGACCCCCAAGCCATTCAACTCTGCTCCCACCCTAATCCTCAGGCCATATGGTGAAGAAGATGGAAATAATAAAATGGCTTTATTTTCTGTACCTCTCAGACTCTGGTGAGCTGACCAGCCCCAAGGCTTTCTCTTGGTGGTGCTGAATGCACTATCTCATTCAGGCTGTGGGCCACTTGTCACAGGCCATTGCTAGATGCACTGTAGCAAATGAATAGGGCCTGGGACTGTAGGTGCCCAGTGATGGATCTGAGAGACTGCTGTTTCCTAGCTCCATCTGGAAGTGGGTCTGAGTCATCCAAATCCCTATCTTAGGGCCCCAAGATTTTCCATATTCGCCCAAGGCTTTTCTTGTGCTTTCCTTGGTAGCACTGGGGACCGTTCACATTCAAGGCAAGCTCTCTATCACTCCAGCTACACCCTTAGCCCTGGCCCCAAATTAGCATTTCCTGGTCAACTCAAGCACAGACTGCATACAACTGTATTGACACTGGTGCTTATGGGGAAACCAACAAGCACATGGTGACATTTTGAAACCATAGAGTCAAAGAACAAAAATAACAAGACTTCTGGTCAGACATGGCTCATACCTGTAATCCAAGCATGTGGTAGACTGAGTATGATTGCTGGCAGTTTCAAGCCAGAAACTCAATGAGTGGTTATAAAGTGACATACTGATTCAACAAACAAAACCAAACCAGAAATGCAGCTTTGGGATGTAGCCTGGTTGGCAGCATGCACAGGGTCCTCGGTTTGATCCCCAGCACACCTGTAATCTCAGCACTTGAAAGGTGATGGCAGGAGGATCAGAAGTTCAAAGCCAGACTAAGATAGAGACCCTGTCTCAAAACAACTGTAATAAGGTAAACAATAACAAACAAACCAACAAAATAAATGAATAAAAAATAAAAAAAGGAGGCTGGAAAGATGACTCAGTGGTTTAGTGTCTGCTCTGCAGTCATGAGTGCTGGAAGTCAGATCCCAGCACCCACATTAACAAGATTAGTGTGCTTGCAAACCTGTAAACCCAGTTCTGATGTGGATAGAAACGAGACTGTGGGGCTCGCTGGCTTCTAGCCTAACAAGATACAAGCACCAGGTTCAGGGAGCCTACCTCAAAGGAACAAGTAGAAAGTGACACAAGACATCTGACATCCTCTTCTGGTCCCCACTGATGTGTGCAGGCAGATACACATGTACACTCATGTACACCAGCATACATATACATTCACACATACAAATAAGTAAAAATAAAGCTTGTGCTGGAGACAGCTCAGCAGTTAAGAGCAATCGCTCCCCTTTTAGAGGACCAGAGTTTGGATCCCAACACCCACATCAGGCGGGCGGCTCACAACCACTTGCAAGTCCAGCTGCAGGAAACTTGACACCCTCTGCAAGCAACTACATCCAAATCCACAAATACAAATAAGCCAGGGGTGACACACGCCTTTAGCCCTAGCACTGTGGAAGCAGGGGCAGGCAGATCCCTTAAGTTCCAGAACAGCCATGGCTACATAGAGAGACACATCTCAAACAAAAAACAAAAACAACTTGACAAAACAAAGACAAAGTCCCATAAGGGCAACAGCCTGACTCTGGACTGAAACACACAGCAGGGCAATGGCTGGCAGAAGGCAGGGCAGTTGTGGAGGTATGGTTTAAGCAATCCCCTTTCATTCCTAGCATTCTGCTGCCTCAAAGCATTTCCTGTGGGTTTCACAGGACCTGACTTCTGAGGAAGACAGGAAAGAACAGATCTCTTAAACCCTGTCTATAGGAGCAAAATGTTTGTATTTGTGTGTTTTGTGATTGTCTCACATACCCAGGGTTGGTCTTGAACTCCTAATACTTCTGCCTCTACCTCTCAAGTACTATTCTAGGAGTGTCTCAGATGCCTGGTTTGTGTGGTCCTGAGGACTGAACTTAGGGCTTCATGTGAGCTAGGCAAGCTCTCTGCAACTAGCTACATTCTCAGCCTTGGAGTAGTTTTTGGTGCCTAATTGGTGGGAGACTCCAGAGCTGGGATGATAAAAAGGAGCTCGGGAGGGTATGATGGCTATCACAGGGTTGAGTTCATACAGTTCAGAGAATACCTGGGACCCCATCCCCAGCCCTTTCCTCTTTAGCAAGCCCAGTCGTGCTTCACACTGACAGGCCATGTGACCCTGGGCAACTCCCTTCTCCCCTGTACAAACTGGAGGGTCATCACTGAGGAATGAAGGGGTTACTCCTCTGGAGACAGGCTAGGCTATCCTCTGCATCTTCCCTGTATCCTCTTTTGGGAGACTAAATCACTATTTCTCCACAGGAACTAAAATGTTCAGGAAATGACCCTGGGGATGGAGAAGGCCTGACTGGTGACTACTATGACACCAGCTTGAACAGTCTCTTTTATGGAAGAATGAGAAGGTGGAGGCAGAGGAAAATCAGTGCCAAGTGTCAGAGACAGGCTTTGACAATATGGCTCATGAATTTAAGAATTGCCTGGAAAACACATTGAGAGCCCTGTCTAAAAGACAACACAAGACAAAACCAAAGATTCACATAGAAGAGAGGGATCAGATTTGGAGGAACGTTATCGAATGTCATGCCCCCTGAGGCCTGAAGAGACTGACAACATGTACATCTTGTCTCTCTCTGATACCTCCAGGAGCCTGGAAAGAGGGATATGGTAGGAAAAGGCTCAGGGTTTCTGGTCCTGGAGGGCTGGCAGAGCAGGAACACCTTGCTTTCTGAGGGCTGACCTTGGTGAATGTACAGAGACCACGGGGGTAGGCAGAGAAGGCTTACAAGGTACCCTTGGCAGAGACTAAAGGGCAGAACGATGCCAAAACTATGGCTGGAGGAGAGGCAGGGGAAAGCCAAGTCCTTGACTCAGCTTCAGAGCCATCAAACAGCACACTGACACCAGATGGACCTGATTTAAAATTTAATGGCTGTTCAGGCCGGGGGTCCCTCATTTCCGCCGCTCTCGGGTCCACTGCTCTGGGGTCAGAGTTTTCTGCTCAAAGGCATGGATGTGCGGGAGCTCTTCAGCTAAGCACTCATTCACCAGCCTGGGCGAGAGATGGGATTGGAAAAATGACCGGGGTATTGGGCTCCCGAGTGAGTGTGACCAGGGAGATCGGAGATGTCTCCAGGAAGTGGGGATTCGAGAGGACAGAAAGGCTGGAGCACCCACGGGTTACGAGCCACATCGCCGGGCTTTGGGAGTAAGTTAGTCCCCACCCGGGTGGACTGCAGTCCCGAGCCCGAAGCCGCGCTGGCGAGGGGCTCCCGGGGCTCACCGGTGTCTCTGGAGCAGTGGCTTTCCCTCGAATTTAGCCGACACCACCAGGACTCGGAAGCTGGTCGCGCAACGGTTGTGAGTCGTGTCTTCCACCTCCTGGCCGGCAGAAGACCCAGACGATGGGGCGCTCGCCCGGAAGCCCTTTCCCGCCCCCCGAGGCCCCGAGCCAGCACTCACCACATGCTCTGCCTCCAGGTCCCGCCGCAGCTTCTCGCGGAGGTAGTCGGCGCTGAGTTCCATGGCCAGACCCTGACAAGGGCCACAGGCCGGCGTGCCCAGAACCTCGCCTCGGGTCCTGCCACCCCACCTTCCGCCCTCACTGCAGCCACTTCCTTCACGCAGCTTACTTCCGCCCTCCCTGGGGCGGTCTCTAAGGCGGCACTTCCGGCTCCTGGCACTGATGACTTCGCAACACTTGGGAGGTTCCGCCCTAGCAGTTAGCCAATCCGAGCCGGACTGGAGGGCAGCGGGCGGGGCGGCTGCGGTTGCTTACCCTCCTCCCGCCAGCAGGCGGCGCACCAAGCCGAGCTGCGGGGTTTCCAGGGTTCTGCACGATCATCCTCGCGTGCCTTTTCCTAAATAAACGTTTTGCAGTCCTGCCTACTCAGCTCTTTCCGAGGACAGAGGTCCCAGAAACCACCCCTCATTTCGGGCCTCCAACCCAGAAAGTCCGGATGGGACCTACAGCGAGACCGGAGCGCTTCTTCGGTGTCTACCTGCTCTACTGCCAGAACCCCCGGCATCGGGGCCGCGTTTACGTGGGATTCACTGTCAATCCTGCTCGTCGGGCTCGGCAACACAACGCCGGGCGCAAAAAAGGTGGCGCCTGGCGGACCAGCGGGCGAGGACCCTGGTAAGAGAGCGCCGGTGTCTTGCCGGAAGGCTTCGGTTAGGAGGCGGGTGCCAGGACAGAAGTCCAAAGTCAGAGGCGGGGCCAATTCTGTGATCGCGGGCGGTGCCTGTCGCCTGTCACCCAGGCGAGCTTAGCGGACTGTGGACTCTGCGGAGGCTGGATTAAGATTTGGGATGGTTAATTGGGGAACAGGGTCACAAGCTAAGGGCTGGTCTGTAACTCCAGTATCAGGGTATGGAACGCCCTCTTCTGATCTCTTCGCCCACCAAGCACAAACGTGGTGCACACACATAAATACAGACATACAGGAAAATACACTCAAACACATAAAATAATAAATCTAAGAAAGAATTAAATACAAGAGCTAAATTATGGAATCAGCCTAAGGGCTCGCCTTAGAGTTACTGTTATTGTGATGAAAAACCATGGCCAAAAGCTTATTGGGAAGGAAAGCATTTATTTGGCTTACTCTTCCACATCACTGTTCATTATTGGAGGAAATCAGGACAGGAAATCAAGCAAGAGAGAGGTGATGCAGAGGCCATGGACCTATGACCACCAGCCCAGGGGGTTTGCAGCACCCACAAAGGCCTGGCCCTCCCACATCAGTCACTAATTAAGAAAATGCTCTACAGGCTTTTCCATACAGCCCGATCTAACGGAGGAATTTTTTCAATTGAGGCTCCCTCTTCTCTGATGACTATACCTTATGTCGAGTTGACATAAAACTATTCAGCACAGAGCTCATCAACAGGTGAGTGGGTGAAGAAAATATGATATATACTAGATAGAGTTTTTGTTTACTTGGTTTTTCAAGACAGGGTTCTCTGTGTAACAGCCCTAGCTGTCCTGGAACTAGCTCTGTAAACCAGGCTGGCCTCGAACTCACAGAGATCCACCTGCCTCTATCTCTCGAGTGCTGGGATTAAAGATGTAGTTTTTAAAAACAGTTTTTTGTTTTTTAAAATTCACATGAGTGTTTTGCCTTCATCTTAAATGTACCATGTTCATGCAGTGCCCGCAGAAGTCAGAAGAGGGCGCCAGACTCCCTGGAATGGGGGTTACAGACAGTTCTGAGCCCAGGTCCTCTACAAGAGCAAACTGAACCACTTCTCCAGCCCCAAAATGCAATTTGATTCAGCCATAACGATGAATGAAAGTATACCCCTTGTGAGAAAGTGGATGGAACTAGACAGTATCATGTTAAGTCATATAAAAAATATCTCAGTCAGAATTTAAAGAAAGGTTATATAGGAGGGGAACTATTTGGATTGAGGAAGAAGACCAAAAGAATGAGGGAAGTGGTTATAAGTGTCAACATACATTACATAAGTGCGAGAATGTCGATACAACTATTATTTTGTACAGTTAACATACACCAGTGAAAACTGTCTTAAAGACAGATCAGAAGACAGGGCTCCCAGTCAGCAAGGCTGGGGCTAGAATACTACTTACAAAGGAGAGGAATTATGGACCGGGTAAGGAGCCTAAGGTTGGCAGGTACAGGGTTCGACCATCTCCACGAAAGGTTCAAGTCCTAATGGCCAGGTGTAAAGTGGTGTGACTCTCAGTGTGAACTGAAACATAGGTCTGGTGGTGGGATTCAGCTTCTGGTGGGGTTGAGGTGGGATGGGGACTCACTGGCTGTGCCCTCTCCTCCCAAGGGACATGGTACTGATCCTGCATGGTTTTCCGTCTGCTGTGGCTGCCCTTCGGGTAAGAAGGTGTCTTCAGGGCGGGCTAGCCTGAGGCCTAGAGTTTGGCTAGACCTCGCCCAGGACCACCCTAACTTGTCATCCGTGTTCCTTCCTATAGTTTGAATGGGCCTGGCAGCATCCTCAAGCCTCACGCCGCCTGACTCACGTGGGGCCGCGCCTGCGCAGTGAGGCTTCCTTTGCCTTCCACCTGCGGGTGTTGGCACACATGCTCCGAGTTCCTCCGTGGGTGCGCCTCCCTCTAACACTGCGCTGGCTGAGACCTGACTTTCGCCATGAACTTTCTCCAGCACCACCACCACACATGCCCATTGCCTTTGGGCCACCACCCCAGCCCTTGGTCCCGAAGCAACTCACTGCAAGTGAGAATGACAGCAGGCGCCAGCTGGATCTAGGTTCCAAGGCCAGCTGCATGTTGTGTGCGCGTATCCTACAGGTAGGGGCACATAGGGGTGGAGGCCCCAGGCACTGCCCACCCGGACACAGTCTAATGAAGGTGATGGTACTTTCAGCTGTTACCTGGCCTATCAGTACCTGCCAGGGCCCTTAGATCCTCTGAATGGGCAACCAGCCACCATGTAGTTCTTTCCTGGCCTCCTGAAACCATAGCTCTTTTGTGTGCTTCCTGTTTTTTCGGTCTCTTTCTTGTCCCACAAGCTGTGGGTTACTCTCGGTTACCGTCCTTATCTCTTTACCTGCCACCTCTGACAGGATGAAGAGGGCCCCCTGTGCTGTCCCCACCCTGGTTGTCCTCTAAAAGCCCACATTATCTGCCTGGCAGAAGAGTTCCTGCGGGAAGAGCCTGGGCAGCTTCTGCCCCTGGAAGGCCATTGTCCGAGGTGAGTTTGGGCCCTCTTCCCAGACTGTGTAGGCCTGGAAAGAAGGCTTCCCGTTTCAGTCCTGGCTAGGGATCCTCACCTTGACCAGGGCCCGGGGATGCCTGACTCTGCCATCTCCACCAACTGCTCCCTTTGGCAGCTGTAAGAAGTCTCTGCTTTGGGGAAGTCTGATCCGACAGTGCCATGTGGATGCTGAGGAGGAAGAGGACTTGGAATTAGAAGAGGTGAGAGTAGCTCTGGCCCCGCTCTCCCCCAGCCGTCCTAGACTTCCTCTGACCCACCCTTTTGTCCTTACAGGAACACTGGACAGACTTGCTGGAGACCTGATCTTAGGCGTCCCCAACTGAACCCTGTTCCTTTTCTGCCCCTCTCGTCAGTGCTTGGCAGCTTCTACCTGAGCACAATAAAAAAAACTGAGTTAAGGGCTGGAGAGATGGCTCAACGGTTAAGAGCACTGGCTGCTCTTCCAGAGGACCTGAGTTCAATTCTCAGCAACCACATGGTAATGAGGTCTAGTGCCCTCTTCTGGCATGCAGGCAGAACACTGTATACACAGTAAATAAATAAATCTTTAAAACAAACAAACAAAATAGCTGAGTTACAGGTACCTTCTGGTGTTCTCCCAGAGAAAGTGAAGTGAAGCTGAGGTCTTGGGCCTGACCATGTGGCCTTGCAACCCCCTTGCCTTTTTCAGAGGTAAGAGTTACTGTCTTCCATTCGCTCTCCTGTGGCTGTGAGAAACACTGGACCAGCCGCTAGGGAGGAAAGGGCTTTTTCAACTTATACTTCCAGGTAACGGCCCATCAGTGAGGGATGTCAGGGTGGGCACCTGCAACAGACCAGGGGAGGAGACTGCTTGCTGGGTCAGTCTCTCTGGTGGTGCTTTAGTGACACTCTTACAGCACCCAGGACCACCTGCCCAGGGTGGCACTGTCCACAGTGACCTGGGCCTTCTCACATCAATCAACCATCAAGGAAATGCCCCCACAGACTTGCCCATGGGCTAGTCTGGCTGTGGAAGTCCCCCAGTGAGAATCCCTCAGGTGAGGCTTGGCTGTGTAAAGCCTAGAGCTGAAGCTAAACAGAATAATTAAAAGCGCAGGGACCAGCACCTGTAACTTGGAGTCTGTGTGTCTCTGTTGGGAGCACAAAGGTCCTTGTGCTCACAAATAAGCACCAGAGACACCAGGAATGTTAAACACCCAAGTTGTCTTTTCACGGGAAAAGATGCATGAATGGAGGTGACTAACCCCTGTGCTATCTGTAGGCCCACTCCATACCTGGCTCCCCTGAAGCTCCCACAACCAGGACTAAAGGTGGCTAATAGACCAGAATACCTCCATACTATCTGTATGACAAGACCACCGCGGATCCTCCCCTAGGCCCTTAAGATAACACATGTAGCCTATCCATAGAACCCACCTTCATGGAAGAAGAGTTTCGAGGTAATCACGTCTCCTTGTGCACATGGGATCATGTTACATTAGGAAACTCTCTCCAAAACTGTACTGTTCTTAAATATGTGTAAAATAAGCGGTGCCCGACTCTAGAAGTTTGAACCAACACTGGTTACTGAGTCATGCTGAACCGTACTTCCTTCTTGCCTCACTCAGCTTCCTCTGCCAACCCCACTCTGTTTGCAGAGCCCCACAGGCCTCCAGGACCAAGCTTGCTGCTCGATCTCAATCTAGATATTTCTGAACTTGTCACAGTCAGTCTGACTACCCATCTTCAATAAGCCAATTAAAAGAGCCAAATTAAAAGTTGAAAGCAGAAAAAGGAAACTTGTTTTGTGTGGCCATATGTGGGAATAGGGATAAAGAGGTTCAGCAAACCCCTTTCACTGGGATCATAGTTTAACTAGAGGGCCAAGGAGATGGGAGATGCCATTATGTATAAATGTTTCTCATACTGGTTAATAAATAAAGCACTGTTGGCCAATAGGAAAACAAGATAGGCGGGACTAGGAAACAAGGAGGAAAGAGGAAGTAGTAAGGAGGAGTCAGCATGGAGAGACCGGGGAGACCAGATGCCTGCCTCACTCCCCAGTAAGGAGACCACGTGGAAATACATAGATCAGCAGAAATGGGTTAATAATTAAGGCAGAGCTAGCCGATAAGAAAGTAGTAACTGGCCAACAGTATAATATCAAATACAGAGTCTCAGTGCATTATTTGGGGCTGACGATGTGGTGGCAGGACAAGACCAGGTGGCGGGCAGAAAAACCGTACTCCTTACAGATGGCGCTCAATGTGGGGCACGAACCCACGACCCTGAGATTAAGAGTCTCATGCTCTACCCACTGAGCTAGCCACATACACAGAGATGTATTTGAGATAGATAGGCATTCTTCAAACCTTTCAAAGACCTACAGAATATGGCATTTAAAATGGCTTAGGGTTTTTCTTGACAGTGAGACATAATTGTTCCTGGCAACACCACCTGCGTCAAAAAGGAAGATGGACATTGAAGAAACTCGTTATGGAGTTTGCTTCCAATATGGCAAGACTAGCCATTTGGACAAGATACTGCTCTTGTCTGGACTGTTTGACTTTATGCTGTATAAACTGAACATGCAGGACCCACAGAAAAGTGATTGCTGATTCAAGATGGACATTGCTACAGAGTTCTTGCTTCATGAAAGAGTCTGCCAGACAGTCTGCAGGACCCAGAGAAAAGTGACTGACAAACTGCCAATACAAGAAGACAGTTTAAAGTTTCCTGCTTTGCTGAAGAGTCTGCCAGACACACTATGGCCTATGGGCTGAAGATGCAAGATTACAAAAAAACTTCGGGTGACCAGGCAGTGAGTTATCTCTGTCATTTCTAGAGCTTATATATTATCCTTCTGTGGTCTTTGAAGGAGTTGAAGACAGATAGTTATGGTTATAGTTTTCCTTTGTTAGGATTTAATGATAAATTACATATAGGACTTTAACTCACAAAGATAAAATAGATGATGAAATATTTTCTTCAAATCTTGCTAAATGTTAATGGACTAAATATTGTTAACTGTGATTCTTGATAACTGTTGTGTTATATATTTTGCTATGTTAAGGTTAAAACCCTTCTTTTTATTTAAACAGAAAAGAGGAGATGATGGGAGGTGCCATTATGTATAAATGTTTCTCATACTGGTTAATAAATAAAGCACTGTTGACCAATAGGAAAACAAGATAGGCGGGACTAGGAAACAAGGAGGAAAGAGGAAGTAATAAGGAGGAGTCAGCATGGAGAGACCGGGGAGACCAGATGCCTGCCTCACTCCCCAGTAAGGAGACCACGTGGAAATACATAGATCAGCAGAAATGGGTTAATAATTAAGGCAGAGCTAGCCGATAAGAAAGTAGTAACTGGCCAACAGTATAATATCAAATACAGAGTCTCAGTGCATTATTTGGGGCTGACGGCGTGGTGGCAGGACAAGACCAGGTGGCGGGCAGAAAAAACGTACTCCTTACACCAAGGAGGTGCACTTCTAAGCAGTCCCTGTCAAGGCTTGGTCACACTCACCACCGGACACCATCTGGGCTTCCGTCTCATTCCGCAAGGTGGCTGGTCAAGTTGTTGAACTATGTGAGATCTCTTTCAAGGAGGCAACTTGCCCCTCTAGCTTTTATCCCCAGCATGATATTCCTGGAGGAAATTCCCATTTCTTTAGGGTCCATTCTTTCAGTAGTCTGATAGTCAGTTTGAGAGACACAAGAATCTATTTAGGTTTTCATTTCTGCCAGGCCAGTCATATGAACCGTGAGACTAAGATGGTGGGAGAGGGCTGCCTGCTCTCCACAGGGCCCTGGAGTTCACCCACGCGTTGTTCTCTGGGTCTTTCCCCAGGAATTAGGTGGGGTCCCTCTTAGAGCCTTCATAGGCTGCCCCACTAACCACCATTCTAACAAGGCTTCTTCTAGGACCCTTAGGTGCCTGCCCTTTGCACAGCTCCCCTGTCCTGCCCACCCCGTGGGACACACCCTATCACAGGGTCCACCCTATCTCTTTGTTCTTGTTTTCTCCACTGCTGGTCCGAGGGCAACTGAAAGGAAACTAGCCCCACCCATGCTGCACTGTGTATTAGAAAAAGACCCGTCATCTTGCAGGGGTGGGATTTCCAGAGCCAACCCAGGTGTAAAGTAGATCACTGTTGGGAAAACAAAACAGTCCACCCATGGGTGCATTCTCCTCTGGCTGTCTTCATTTTGTAGCTCAGGACCAGCCAGGTTTTGGTTTGCAGATACAATTAGCTTAATTCTAGCTGGGGTTCTATAGAGGGTAACAGAGCACCCCATCCATCTTCAACCCCTACTTCCTTCATGAAGTCTTAGCATATAAATAAAGCTTCCCCTACTCCACCCTTTGGAGGAAGCAGGTAGTTTTAGGGCTGGCTCTAAGCCCCTCCACCTGGAACCTACGAAAACACCCAGTCCAAGGAGCCCTGCACTCCCCAGGCTGCATACACAGTCAGCTGTGTACCCAGGAGGCCACAGGCCAGATCCTCCTAAGTCAGGTGAGTGCCTGCATGAGGTGGTGGGACCAGAAGGCCTTTGCCCTCCAACGTGCTCTACAGGAGGCTTGCTCTGGTTGTGTGGGCAGCTCCTATCTGGCCCCTGCCTGGGCTTTCCTCTTCTGTGCTCTTTCTCCATATTTACCCCATCATAGTGGGGCAACTCCAGCTGAGCAGCAGGTCTGCTCATGCACACAGAAGCCTCTGGCCCCCAAACAAGCTCAGAGCCTCAACTAACGGTATTTGTCCTAGTGCCGAGTTGAAAATGGACTGAGATTTAAGAAGTGCGCACTCTGAATGGCTGCCGTAAGTGGATGGCCTGAGAAGCTCAAGACAGGCCATAGTGGGGGCCACAGAGGCCATGGTTATAGACTGACAGCTGCAGTAGGAGGTAGTTGGAGAAACGAAGCCAGCTGCAAGCAGTGAGCATGGGCAGGGGCCAGGAGACCTTCTCCAGTACAGTGTGGCATCTCCTGGGAAGCTGCCAAACTTTACATCTGAGCTCTACTCACAAAAATTCTTTAATGATCTGGCTACCAGTGGGGTACTGAGCTCAGAGAATGTTCTGCAGGTGAGCAGCTATACAGCCAGAGTGGTGATCGCTACCTTGAAGTCAGACCTGCCTTCCTACCTCTTGCTGGCTCTGTGAGCTCCAGCAGAGTTCTCGGCTCCCCAAACCCCCTGTTCTTTATCTCAAGGCAAAGATGCCTCAAGTAGTAGTGATATGCTACTAACAGAAGTGGGCTGGCTGTTTCAGCAACATGGAGCTGGTGGAGGATCTCCCACACACACACACACCGCCAGTGTAGCTAGTGTATCCAAGGGCATCCCTGATGCTCAAACACTCTGCACAGGGGACTGCGGAAATGCAACATTTTCAAGCCTTTCCCGATGAACTGCTCATCGGCATGTACCCAAAGTCCAGTAAGCCAGTAGAGTCCCATAACCAGGCCTGCGGCTGCCACCTCAACTGGCAGAGCTGAGTCCTCAGCCCAGCTCACTTTCCAGTCCTTCCTTTCCAGGTAGCACCAGAGTCAGTGAGATACTTGACATGATCTATGAGGATGTTAA